TCTCTCTCTCTCTCTCTCTCTCTCTCTCTCTCTCTCTCTCTCTCTCTGTCTCTGTCTCTTCCCTTTACTTCTTCCCAGGTCTCTGCCAGCACCCCGAAATTTCTACATTTGTAAAACAATTTGCCATTGATATTTTCTCTCATTAATATTTTCTCTCATATTAGAGGTAATTGCTTCATCTCTAAAGGAAGAGGTAATAAAAACCGCTGTCTTTTTGCAGAAGTTTAAATAGAAGTGTGAAAATTCATGCTCTCTGGGTTCCCTTCCTCCCATACACCTCAAAAAAGAATGGTAGCCACTTAGTCTTAAGAAAGTTTAGAGCCTTAGTGCAACAGTTGAGAATAATCTAATTTTTGTTTGTTTTTAAAGACTTTGTTGTTATACTCTATGTCTATTCTTCATTCTTGAAATCCCCTTCCCCCTACCTCTGTTCCCCACCCCCACCTCCTACACAATAATGGGTGTTTTGCTGAGGTGATCAAAGGAGGGTTATCTGTTGTGCAAACATTCACATATGAAAAGTTAACAAAATAATGCCCTAGCTTCCTAATCCCTATTACTACCACTAATTAATATTCCAGTGAATGCCTCTTTGGGTTTGAGGTTTATCACGAGTAATCTGACCAAGTTTCATTTACACAAGTACTGTGGAAATGTAACTTGTCCTTTTGTAAATTGTTATTATGAAGGGGTACATTAGACCAAAATTTTCTTAAGTTCATACATCTCGTATAACTGGCTCTGGGAAATCACTAGGTGCTCAAAAGAGTTATGAATTGAATTCACTGCACATACTAGATTAGAATCATTTTTATAGTAACAGATGTGGAAGGTGTCTATTTGGCCTTTTTTAAAAACATTTTTTGTATGTTATACACAAAATAAATATTTACAGTTTGACCACTTTATGTTATATACTTTATATATGAAACAAAATGCTTTAACTTCTTCATACAAAAAATAAAATTTATACTGTTCTGAAGTCACGGGTTCTCTGATCATATTTTTTTAATCTGAGTATCATGATCCATGTCCCTTTTGTGTTCTATTTGAAACTTTAATTTGGAAAAGAAAAATGTACTTCTTAGACATTAGTTTTATGGTAATTATAATGAAGCTGGACATAATTGCATATTTATACTTCTTTGTAAATCAACAACTCCCTAATATTCTTAAAAATGTTCCTTGTGTTTTTAAAACAGCAGCATTTTGTTAACCTTAATAAGAGCCTGACGTGTGTTTCTTCTAAATGGCATCTGATGTGGTATCTCTCCTCAGTTCTCTGTGGTTTCCTGTTTTTTTCATACATAGAGAAAAACTTTTTGAGGTATGAAGCCTCATGTTTTTCTTTTAATGGTACCTCAAACCTAAACTCTCTTATAAATTATACAGCATAGTGTTGTCAATCTGTCTCACCATTAATTTATGCCACTTCCCACAGACTGTTTCTCCGGAATCCCTCCAGCCCTTGCTGTGTATCCATCACCCAGCTTGCATGTCCTTATATACCCCACTCTAGATTCTTTAGCATTACAGGTTTTACTTCTATCTCTAAAGTGTGTTCTTCAAAGACAAAGATGTTATCTTTATTTCTATAATTGTATTTCCCTAACAGTGCCTTGTTTTAGCAATGAGTAGATATAGTAGGCTCTCTAAGTGTTGTCTCTAGAGCAGCAGCAGATGCTGCAGGGAACATTTTATAGCTGTCAATGTTCAGGCCCCACCCCAGTGCTACTGAAACATAGTATCTTGGGTTGAGGATCAGGCTATGTTAACAAGCCTCAGATAATTTGGATGCATGCTGAAGTTTGACAACCACTACTGCAGAAAATTACTGAATATCAAGTTGTACCTTTATGGTGATATCTCATTGAGAGGATTGATACAGAATGGGGCCAGGCACAATTTAGTTTATTCTGCCTGATTCTTGTATTTCAGAGATACTGGTAAAGAAAACCTAAGATTTAAATATTTGCTATCTTATAAGAGGATGCTATCTTATAAGAGGGACAGTTTTTATGCTATTCGGTTGTAAAAATTGTAGTTTAAATTTTAAAAACTGAATGATTTCTTTCTTCTGCCAAATTAGGAATAGGCATTATTCTGAAGCAGGAAGGTTAACTAAGAAATGCATCCTGGGTGTCACTAATTTTCATGGTAGGAAAGAGGGTAGGTCAGTTGGAAACTGGTCAGATGGGGATAGGTTGAGAGACGTTTTGCTAGTTACCATTCTATGCTCTTCTAAGTTTTTTGAATCATGTAACTGTATTACATGTTAAAATTTTGTTGAATGATATTTAGTCAAAATAAAGTAATAAATAAATGTTGAATAAACTCCATGATATAACCATTGTGGTTGGTTTAAAAAATTAAATTTTTCTTTTATATTAATATGAAAAGTTAGATAACATATGCTTTTCATCTCTGCAGAAAACATCAAAGTTGTGGCAGAAATGTCTTGATGGCTTTCCATCGTAGTCTTCTTGAATTGGCTAATACATATTACTCGTTTGTGCAATGAATAAAGGATTTATATTATATGGATCCATCATCTTACGACTGTTTTTAGAAAATGAGAATTAAATCTTGATTCATTATTAAATAACCTTATATACACACATGAAGAGGTCATGACACATAAGACTTTGACCTAATACCTTTTTTTAGATGTATTTCTATAGCTATCTTGATAGCCTAGGACTGTTTGAGAGAAAATTAATTTAAATTTTTGTCTTATTCTTAGCAAATGCAAAATAATTGAGTTAAAAAGAACCCACTACATTTGTTCTGAAATATGAACAGTATTCTCAAGTATTTGTCTGGTAGTACAAATACAATTATATTAATTTTATTATTGAATTTTGCTGCTTCAAAGGGAGGTATTTCTTAAATGACACTTGATTCAATTATTTCCCTTTTTTTCCACCTTGCACAGAACTATCGTACCATGGAAAGTATTCAGACAGTGCCTTCATGAGGTCCACCAGATTAGCTCTGGCCTGGAAGCAATGGCTCTAAAATCAACAATTGATTTAACTTGCAATGATTACATTTCAGTTTTTGAATTTGATATTTTTACCAGACTGTTTCAGGTAAGTTTATACTTGCTTAGTCTATCCATTCCCTTCCTCTCTCCCTTTCTTTTCTCTCTGTTTCTCTCTCTTTCTGTCTCTCTCTCTCTTACATACGTATAAACAAACATATGGAAAATAGTGTCATTACTATTAGTCTGTAATTTTATTGGTATGTTTGGTCATTGCTAAAAGTTTAGAGTGAACCATTTGGCTTAAGTTTGGAGTATCAGATGCTGTGAGCCTGGTGGCTGCTTGTCAGCTTTGAGAGGATCCATCCAAAAGAGCTTTGTTTTAAACTCTCTACTTAGTTTCTCACTTTATTTTGTTGATCTTTTAGCACAATGATGGATAGAATGCAACAACTGCAGGTGGGCATTTTCCAGCTAGATCTAAAATCTTTCCCTTTGCCTTCTGCGTTTATTAGGTTAAAAGGGAAATAGTAAACTTAGAAATACCAGACTGTTCTGTATAGAACAGAACTTGTGTCCTGTACTTATTTTATAAATTGCTTTGCACATTCAACCATGTGTAACGAACATTTTTCAGTGTCAGTAAATATTCTTCATAAGTTCCTATGTCATATTCATTCAAAATAGTATGTCAGTATTAACAAAGCTCTCTTTTGAAAAATTTAGATTTTTACCTGCATTTTCTCTAATGTAAACAACTTAAAGATGAACATTTTTGTTATGCTTTTTGTTTTTCCTTTTAAGTTATCCTCCATAATTGTTTTCACATAGCAAATTAGAAGAATGTAGCATTATATGGATGCTATCATTTTCTTCTTTTGCATGCCTTAATGGAATTACTTTAAACATGAAGACTTGAAATTTGTGTTTTGAGTTTGCCTCTGCCACTAAAATGTGTATCATCTATGGGATTCAGTTCAAGTAGTCACAAAATAAAAACTTTCTGCTTAACATTTTTATGATTTAGTAACATAAATTATATAGTAAATGAGGTAGGTTGATCAGACTGGGCTTACTTGTATTCTGATACAATTTTTTATCATTTTAATCTGAAGTAAAATTTACTCCCTTTGAAACATGCTTTCCACAAATATCAGAGTATAATATTGGTTTCATGTTTTTCATGTTACGTGAACTTTACTTCTCTGATCTTTAATTCTGCTTGGCACTAGCTAGCAAGGATTAGATGACTGGTTTATGTAATAAAAACCACATTGCACAGGATTAGCTTTTAATTTATGAAGGACCCCATTAATAGAAGAGAGATTAACTCCTGTCAATAATACATATAGGATGTGAAACCATGTCTCTACTAAAAATGCAAAAAATTAGCTGGACGTGGTGGTGGTGGGCACCTGTAGTCCTAGCTACTTGGGAGGCTGAATCAGGAGGATGGCGTGAACCCAGGAGGTGGAGCTTGCAGTGAGCTGAGATCACGCCACTGCATTCCAGCCTGGGCGACAGAGCGAGACTCCGTCTCAAAAAAAAAAAAAAAAAAAAATACAGGATATATTTCATTGTATTATAATTTCAAAATCATAATTCTACCTTGTATATAGGGTAAGCAATTAGATAAATCACTGACGAAAGTGTGCTTTTGATTATTTTAAATTTTTGAATTCATGATTATTCCCTCGGTGTATATATTATAGTTTGACAGTTTACGTTTTTCAAAGATTTTAAGATCTATTTTAGAAAAAAAAAGTTATCTGATATTGGTCATTTTATAATGGAACCTCTCCTTTCTTTAAAGGTTTCTGATAATTTTACAGAATATCTTATTTATTTAACATGATACAAAGAGATTCTAAATAGTAGGAGCTTTGCTTCTTCACCTTGTCAAGGAAGAGAGTAAAAGTAATCTTCCTACATTAAACCTAACTGCTCATTCTAGGAAGTGAGTATATTTTTGTGGTGAGCCTGGATGACTTTTTACTGTGGGTATTAAATGCTAGAATTCCCTGGCGTTATATATTGAAAGTATGAGGGCAACTTAATGTTGGTTAAACACTTACCTAAACTGCTATTTAATATGTGGACATATTTTCTTATAAGCTGTTTTACTTTAAAATAGCACAAGTCAGCCTTGATACTCTAAGGAATATATATCTTATTTACTTTCACTGGGATGGGAAAAGAAAGGGCTATTTTTAAGTCAAGCTACTGTGAAAAGTTTTAGATTGTAAAATGAAAATCTTACCTGGGCCAGGGAATTCCTAATCATTTTAAAAATGTGATTACAGAAGGAGCTGAAGAACTCTTGTTTAGCCCCTGTGTATTTCTGAGATTCATCATTTGTTTATTTCTATACTCCAATCAAATGCTTTGAATATAATCGTATGTGTGCCTTAAAATATGATAAAATTGGTTCTGTGTATAGAGAAGTAGATGGTTTAACTTTTGCTGATCTTTTTATACAACTTTAAAAATTAAGTGATTTTCTTAAATGTATTCATTAAATCCTTACATTTATATATTACATATGAACATATGTTTTGCTAATACTGTGTGACTACAGGAACATACATTCAGTTATAGCCATGATATTAGTAGTTAATTGGCAGTGACTACTTCTGACTGCAAATTATTGGGAGTGGGATATTTAGCAGAATGGGAACTGAAGGTAAGCAAGGTACACTTTTAGAATTTGGGGTCTGAAGTAGAGAAACTAGCAGAAGGTTTTGAAGAAGGAGCCAGCGCGGGGCAGGAGATGAAGTTGAGAATTACAGAGGGAATGAAAGAAGTAAAAAAGTTTGCTTCCTCTTGGCTTTCATTCTTATATGCAGGCAGAACCTGAACAAATACTTGGGAGTCACTGGAGGGATCTTATGTGGTCACCTTCCTCATTTCCTCTTCTTCCTTCTTTCCTTTTCTTTATCCTTCTCTTTTCTCTCAAAGTCACTTAGAGATGCTGGAATCGGCACATGCTACTGTCCTGGAAAGGAATTATAGGGATTTTGCTTCTCTCTTCCTTCTCCCTGGGGCTGATGTTCTCCTTTTCCTCTGTATCCCCACTATTAGAAAAAATGGGGTCACTGAGAAATGGGGCACTAAATTTGGGGGTAGCAGGATAAGGATGGAGTATTTTAGTAGAATATCCTAGTGACCGTAGAGTATGTAGCATCAATGGAATAGTGAGGAAAATCAAAGAAGAGGAAAGTCCTCAGTTGTAGCTAAGAATTAAAGAGAGTATCTAGGCAGACCAGCCGAGGATCCTCTTCCAACTTAAGCTGTAAGTCAGTAACTGGCTCTTCTTGAAAATAGTAGCATTTGAGAGAATGGAGGGACCTGTCTCCTTTATTCACTTCATTAATTTCTATAGTCATTTAAAAATATCTAGATAATTTTATGTTCTTATATACGAAAAAATTTATTTAATCTGAAAAGCAAAATAAAAAAAAATATTCTCCAAAACACTTTGTTTCGCCTTTTTTAAGCCAGTAGTCATCGAAATACTTTAAAAATAAAAAGCACATAAGTACTGCATGTTTCTGTTTTGAGTGGGCTGCATACAAGAAAAACAATACACAGACTCATTCTATTTCATAAATATTTTTGCAATTAGAAGCTGGCCCTCTGGATTATATACTAAGAAATGGTTGCTAAATACTGTAGCAGTTGGCTCAAAACACCAATTTAATTTTTTTACTTATATTTTGATCTGTGCATTGGTGCTCTATAAAGTTCAGCATTTTTTTTCAACCACTCTTCCACTAATTTGTGTGGACATTAATGGAAGTGACCCAATTATTTGTTTGATATTTCTTTCATCCTTGTCCTTTATAGATGGGTAGAACAAAACAAAACAAAAACTAGGGTCTAGAATAACAGTTATTGCTCAGTTTTTAAAAATACATACTGACATTTTCTAAGTAATGTTTAATGCAATTTTTTAGTCATGCATTAGGGAGAAAATTAAAAACATGCATTTTTTTTTTCAGCCTCTCATATTATTATTCTCTAGAGTGCCTTTCTTGCCCAATTAGGTATTTTAGTGTGATGGGGAAATACCCCGAAGATTTTTCTTGTTATGTTGAAAAAGGCTAAAAACTTTATTATTACTAAATCATTCTTTGTTATCCTCATCTCAAAGGTTATAATCCTTGAAGAATTCTGACTTGTAAATTTGTAACTTGCTTAACAATAATGAGGAACAAGTCTCAAAACAAACAAAAGCAGGAACTTTTACCAGTAATCATGTCTAGAATAACTGTTTTAACAGCTTTAATATGGCAACGTAAAAATACTTTGTTTTTTTTTCTTTTATGTAGAAGATTTAATAATCTGGCACATCAGATAGAGTATGCTGCCAGTTCCTTGGAATAAATGTAGCTTCAGCCTTAACAAAATTATAGAGATGATTCATCCACACCCTTGAGTAAAGTTGTCTATCACTGCCTGCCTTTTTTCTCTTGCCCTGGTAGCTGGACAGACAACCAATCAGATTAAAGAGAGAATGATGCAATGGTACAAACCAAATACTTATGCGAAAGGTTTTGTTTTTATGTAACTCACTTTTAAACCCTAAACCTTTCCTAAGTTTATAGTTATGTAAAGTTAAGCCAGATGTGACTACAGTAGTGTTAACACTAGCCTTTTACACAAGTCACTAGAGGATCTGTTCAGTGACATTGATCCTTGGCTGATTACTGTTATCTGATGCTGCAGTGGTCCTGGCATCGCATGGGCAAGCAAGACAGGCATGTTCCTTGTCCTTATGTAGCTTATGGTTAATGTGTAACCTTTGCCAAGTCATGTAAGTTCTATGATATGGTTTCTTACTCTGTAAAATGAAGCAGTTGTTAACGAAACAGACATACATGGAGGTGAGGAATATGGCAAGAGGTAACAGTTTTAAATATGCTGGTCAGAGAAGGCTTCATTGAGGAAGTGACATTTGGAGACAGGAATGAGATGGATATTTGGGGGAAGAAAATTCAAGTAAAGGCATCGGCAAATACAAAGACTCTAAGAGGAAAGAGGGCATTTGTGTTCAAGACAATAGCAGGCTGGAGAAGATGCAGAAAGTGGGAGAGTTATAGCAGATGGAGACAAAAAGGGGAACTGCTGGGGATCAAACCCTGTAAAGTCCTTCTAAGCAATATATGAGGACTTTGGCTTTTATTCAAAGTTAGAAGGCTTTGAACAGAAGAATTATTTCATTTATGTTTTAAAATAGTCACAAGTGCTGTAGTGAGAATAGACTGTGTAGAGAAGAGATATTCGCTTCCTGAAAAATCTCTTTTCTGCCTAATCATATTTCTCTAAAGAACAATAGACTTGAATGTCTGCTGGTAGGTAACAAAAGTTGACCTAAACCACATAAGGTCAGATTAACTTAAAATATCCAAGATAATGTTAAGTATATTAAATGATGGTTCAGTATGTAATCAATATTTGATATTCTCTAGATAATCTCTTTTAATTTTTTTTATTTTTTAGCCTTGGGGCTCTATTTTGCGGAATTGGAATTTCTTAGCTGTGACACATCCAGGTTACATGGCATTTCTGACGTATGATGAAGTTAAAGCACGACTACAGAAATACAGCACCAAACCCGGAAGGTAAGACTTTTTAGCAGTAATATTATGTGATATATCCAAAGATGAAAATTCTCCATGGTGTGTTCCTAAGTTAGTCAGCAGCACCCACTGATGGCATGCTTGAGGGGGGTCTGGAAAAGCTCAAAGACCAAAATGGTGCTTCTTAATCTAATCCTTTACATTGATACATTGTGCTTACTCTGAAACTTGGTATTCATAAAGTGAAAGGGGATGTGGTCTCCTCTCTGTTTTCATGATATCTGTGTTTATGTGCAAAATTGTATGTATATATTTGAATACTTGAATACTGTGCTAAAGAACAAATAAATAGAACAGTCTTATGTTCGTTACTTTAGGGTATTTTTAAGACATTCATTTAAGTTCTCTGATAAATACAAGTACATATACATGCACCTGAACACATAAATATGAATGTAAGTTTATGACCAAATAAATGTATGTACATAGCATATATAGACCTATTGTTATAATCAAAACCAATTTCGTGTCCTTGAAAGCTTTTTTCATAATGCCTTATGTTTTATTGTAGCCTCAGAATTTATATTTTATTTTCCAAATGGTGAAACTAAATGAGCCTTGGAGAGGTCGGTCAGCCCCTGTGGCTTAGGCCAAGAAATTACACCTTATTAATGGCAAATCTGGGTCAGAAAATCTATCTCTTCCATGGTTCAGTGCATTTTCCCATGTATTTCATCTAAAAATTCATTAAGCACATAGTAGGCATTTGTGCTATGGCAGGCAGTATGCTGAGTACAGCAATAGGGATATTAGAGACCTGCTTGTCAGAGTCCTCACTTTTCAGATGCTATTCCAGTATTCATTAGTGCACTGATATTCATATAGAGAACATTTCATTTTAGGGATGAATTTGGTGGTGGTTTTTAAGTGTACCTTTTTTTTTCTAGTATCATTTTTATTTGATTTGTGCTGTATATAATGTTTGTACTTTAAAACATTTTTGTTTTGTTTTGTTTTGCTTTGTTTTTGAGATGGAGTCTTGCTCTGTCGCCAGGCTGGAGTGCAATGGCGCGATCTCCGTTCACTGCAACCTTCGACTCCCTGGTTTGAGCGATTCTTCTACCTCAGCCTCCCAAGTAGCTGGGATTACAGGCATGTGCCACCATGCCTAGCTAATTTTCGTATTTTTAGTAGAGGTGGGGTTTCACCATGTTGTCCAGGATGGTCTTGATCTCCTGACCTCGTGATCTGCCCGCCTTAGTTTCCCAAAGTGCTGGGATTACAGGTGTGAGCCACCACACCCGGCCAAAACGGTTTTTTTTTTAGTACAAGCCAATAGTGCTGATTTTTTGTTCTCTGTCATAATGAAACTTTCCATGTTTTTGTCTTTTTAAGAATTTATATAGTATATTTGAAAAAGAAGCTAGTGAGTACAAAAACAGTTTGGCTTCCACTGAAATCTTCCATTTAGACTAAGGAGAGTTAGTTCTCATTGTGACCATGCGAGCAGATCAGTTATTTTGCATGTTGACAGTGTTTTAGATGAATGATTTTGTTTCATTCAACAATCTCTCATGACCAGATTTTTCCATAATTTTTACTCTCTTGAATGACGTCATATGAAGTATCTTTCTTGCACTTGGAGTATGATTTGAAAAATGTGTGGTGGTTGGAATTATGCAATCATAGAAACTTAACATGTGAGTTATTTGAGAAATTATCTTGTCCAATCATAGAAATAATGAAGAAACTGAGGCCTTTATTTTTGGTTTTGTTTACTTGTTCAATATCATGGAGAACATGAATTACAATGTTGAGAACAACAGCCAGATCTCATTACTATTTGGAAAAGTTCTCTTAATAAAAACTACTGCCCTGTGCTAAGAATATTTGTCATAAGACCCACCAGTAAACTTATCTTCAAATGCGTACAATATATACCTTTTATACAGCTTTTTTGTGTATCATTCATTAAAAAACTAGAATAGTGTCCTCTGAAAAAAAAATCTTTGTTTCCTTCCTAACTTGCCATGTAATGATTTTTTCTATTAAATTTTAGGTAGCTAATGATGAAATAAATAATATATAACAAATTATAATGTGTAAAGTATGATGTGGGTACTAAAGATGTGTTTAGGAAAACACCCTTAATGAATAAAAAAAAATTGTAACAAATATTTGCTTTGGAGAATATCTGCATTTAACTTTTTTTTTTTTTTTTTTTTTTTTTTAAATCTTGGAAAGTATTTCGTGTCTTTGACTTCATAGTATAGAAAACAATTGGATTTACTTCAGGGACATTTTGGCTCCTTAGGTTGTGCTTTATTATTAGGCATCCATCTGACAAAATATGAATTACGGGGTGAAGGTAGTAACATTTGGGAATCTAAGTGAAATATTCATTAGGTGGCTTTTTAGGTGATAAGAGTGGCATTGAACCCTAAACCACCTTGTCAACATGAAAGATACCTCAGTTATATGTATATATGTGTGTGTGTGTGTGTGTGTGTGTGTGTATTTTTTTTTTTTTTTTTCCTGAAACAGTCTCACTGTGTTCACCCCAGGCAGGAGTGCAGTGGTACCATCTTGGCTCACTGTAAGCTCCACCTCCTGGGTTCAGATGATTCTCATGCCTCAGCCTCCTGAGTAGCTGGGACTACAGGCATGTACCATCATGTCTTGCCAATTTTTTTTTTTTTTTTTTTTTTTTTTGTATTTTTAGTGGAGACGGGGTTTTGCCATGTTGGCCACGCTGGTCTCGAACTCTTGGTGTCAAATAATCCACCTGGCTCAGCCTCCCAACGTACTGGGGTTACAGATGTGAGCCACCACACCTAGCCCTAATTTGATTAAATTAAGCATGCTGTTTAAGAGAGCAGGGTGCTAAAAATAAGCCAGAAATTCACTTGAGGTTGGGAAGGGGTAGCCACAAGCCAAAGCGTTAGCAGCAAATTAAATGGGATAGGAAGAAGGTGCATGAGAGGAAGAAATTGTTCTAAAATGCCCTTGGCTCTTACCAGATTGCTGGTATTACTATCTCTTACATACATGAATTGCTTGAACCTTCTGTGTAATAATGAGTTTTAGAAACACCATCCCAAAACAATGTTTAGAACAATAGAAAAGGACATGAATTAAAAATCTGAGCAATTTCACAAGTATGTATTTCAGTATCTACTAGATTCTTAGTATATGAATAAATGTGGAATTACATTTAAAATTACTAGCAATGCAGATTTGTAATTATTTTCTTCATGTTAATATACTCTATAAATTTTGCTGAGATTCATAGTACACAGATTTTTAAGATTCTAGCTTTTGACTTAATTTGAAGGAATTTTATATTAATTTTTTATGTAACAGTTTAATAATGTCCTTCTGAATTGTAATTTATAGTGACTTTCTATTATTTTTGGCACTTCTCATAATATCATAGCCGTAAGTCTCAGTGGCATTATTTTATCTGATTTTGATTAAGAATGCCAATAATTGACAGATTGATATCCTATTTTCAGTTTGTCTAGGGATTCATGTTTTTAGACTTTTTTGAAAAGTTCTTTCCAAAGATTCTATCACCAATATAATTTTTTTAATGTTTAAAAATCACTTCTTTTTTTAAAATTCTAGTTTGTCAAAAGATGAAATTACACTCTACTACTAAATACACAAGTTAATTAAATCCAGTGACTGCAGCCATTATGTATGTTAAAGTATATCTTTAAAGTTACATTTATAGTACTTGGTCTATCAATAACTAAAGTATATTTTGAGATACTTGTGTCTGCCACCTACATACAGCAGCTAGAGTATTAAAATACAGCCAACAGATTTAAATTGGCTTGTTTTTGATCTGCTTAATGGGGTAATAAAATCCAGAAGGGTATCCTGATAGAAAGATTAAATGCAGTACACTCAAATAAAGAGAAATGATCTAAAATGAAATAAGTATATAGATAACTAGATTAATACATAAATGATAATGATGGATTTAAAGCCAAGTTGCTGTCTCCTTTTGTTGGATATTAGTTTTAAGGGATTTGATTTGATTTATATTTTTGAACTATCTTAACTTCCCATTGTAAGATACTGAATTTGATATGGTTAGATGGCAGCCATGAAATTACCTAGTTTGCACTTTTGAACCTTAGGGATGAATGGCTGGAATACCTGAAAGAAAAGTTACTATTTTTTAAGAAGCCGGCCGGGCGCGGTGGCTGACGCCTGTAATGCCAACACTTTGAGATGCCGAGGCGGGTGGGTCACTAGGTCAGGAGATCGAGGCCATCCTAACAGGTGAAACCCCGTCTCTATTAAAAATACAAAAAATTGGCCGGGTGTGATGGCTCACGCCTGTAATCCCAGCACTTTGGGAGGCCGAGGCGGGCGGATTACGAGGTCAGGAGATCGAGACCATCCTAGCTAACAGGGTAAAACCCCGTCTCTACTAAAACTACAAAAAAATTAGCCGGGCGAGGTGGCGGGCGCCTGCAGTCCCAGCTTTTTGGGAGGCTGAGGCAGGAGAATGGCACGAACCCAGGAGGCAGAGCTTGCAGTGAGCTGAGATCGCGCCACTGCACTCCAGCCTGGGCGACAGAGCAAGACTCTGTCTGAAAAACTAAACAAACAACAACAACAAAAATACAAAAAATTAGTTGGGCGTCATAGCACGCGCCTGTAGTCCCAGCTACTCGGGAGGCTAAGGTAGGATAATTGCTTGAACCTGGGAGGCGGAGGTTGCAGTGAGCGGAGATCGCGCCATGGCACTCCAGCCTGGGCGACAGAGACACCGTCTCAAAAAACAAACAAACAAACAAAACTAATTTTAATGTCTAAATTACAAAGGAATGTATCGAGTTCTACAGTAGAAACTGGCTCAGTTTTTTTCTGAGGTAAGCAAATTGAATTTAAATTTTTACTTCTTTTGTTTTTACATTCCAAGAGTGATTTGTTTTGTAGCTATTCCATGCCATCAACACTTCCATACACAGCACCCTGATGATGGTAAAAAAAAAAAATCCCTAGATAGTTTACAATCTTGTTTATTTTCTTATATATGTATCTGGAAGTATTTAAATAAAAAGTAATGATCAGTGTTTCTCTTCTAAATTGATAAATGGAAAAGTACAATGTTAAAAATAAGTTAGAAGTTAGAATATGAGGAGTATTCAGGAATTCTAAATGATTCTGTTTATTCTTTTGCTTGAAAGAACCCTAACAAATTGTTTAGTATTGATTTACATTCTGAATTAAATTAAACATAATTTTCTTATGTTTTGCAGCTATATTTTCCGGTTAAGTTGCACTCGTTTGGGACAGTGGGCCATTGGCTATGTGACCGGGGATGGAAATATCTTACAGACCATACCTCATAACAAGCCCTTATTTCAAGCCCTGATCGATGGCAGCAGGGAAGGATTGTAAGTATGAGAAATGGGAGTTGGAGTGCTTATGATTCACGAATCTGAAAAATAAAGGTTGCTTTGTGATGGAGAAAATGGATAGCGAGGCTGCTTTTTAATCTTAAGACTGAGAAATAATGGATGTTCCTTAGTTTGTTGTTCATCTCTTTATATAGTCATTTTAAGGTAACCTAATTATTTGAAACTATGTTATAGCAAAAACATTTCAACTTCAAATTACATGAATTTTTATCGTTCATATGATAAAACGTTGGGACTTAAAGGTAGTTTTAAAATGGATGTAAAACTTTATATTTTAAATTATTTAGAATAATTGACTTCTTTTTCCTCATATAACCCTTAGATTGCTAGTTTCACTTTTTTTTTTTTTTCTGTTTTTGAAACGGGAGTCTCACTCTGTTGCCAGGCTGGAGTGCAGTGGTACAATCTTGGCTCACTGCAACCTCAGCCTCCTGGGTTCAAGGGATTCCCCTACCTCAGCCTCCCAAGTAGCTGGGACTACAGGCATGTGCCACCACGCCTGGCTAGTTTTTTGTATTTTAGTAGAGACAGGGTTTCACCATGTTGGCCGGGATGGTCTCGATCTCCTGACCTCATGATCCGCCCGCCTCAGCCTCCCAAAGTGCTGGAATTATAGACATGGGCCACCGCGCCCGGCCAGTTTCACTTTTTAAAGTTTGATTGTTAGTGCCAGACTTTCTTTTCTCTTTGTTATCTGTTTCTCCCTCCACCCCTTCCTTTTCTTTTCTCTCATAGATCTTTCCTCATTCACACTGATAATAACTCCATATTCTAGGACTATGTGTTAATAGCTAAGTTTAGTTTATCTCAGGCTATATTCCTTTTTAAAATTTAAAAATAAATAAGTTCCCCTTTGTTTTTAAAATTAATGAATTCTCCCCACTCCCTCCACACACAAAGTATGGACAATCTATTGGGTCCCTTAATAGTAAATATGTCTGGTTCTTCTTTGCTTTATTCACATGTCACTCCCTTTGTTCTCTCCTTGTATTCTCAGTGCACTTGATCATGCTGCTTTTTCTTCCCCTCTGCCTTGCTGGGTAACTTAGAGATGCTCATGATCAAACTCACTGCAGTATGAATTCTGAAACCTAGCAGAAGAAAGTCCACCAGAGTTAACAAAGAGCAAATGATTTGAGTTTTACCTTTCTCAAAGTAATTGCAAAACAGAAAGAAAGAAAAGAAAAAAAGTGATGAGATTTATGCAACGAAAAAGTAGGACTTTTTAAAAACCTGTGAGCTTTTGGGTGGGACTAGTAGCTTACTCCTGTAATCCCAGCATTTTGGGAGGCTAAGGCAGGAGGATCAGTTGAGCTCAGGAGTTCAAGATCAGGCTGGGCAACATGGCAAAACCCTATCTCTACAAAAAATGCAAAAAAATTAGTTGGGCATGGTGGCGCGTGACTAGTCCCTGCTACTCTGGAGGCTAAGATGGGATAATCACCTGAGCCTGGGAAGTTGAGGCTACAGTGACGACATCGTGTCACTGCACTCCAGCCTGGGCATCAGAGTAAGACTCTATCTGGGGGAAAAAAAAAAAAAAAAACCCCACACACGAAACCTTTCAATAATTAGTTACGTAGTAATTGTATGGCAAGTTATGGTACCAAATGTGTATTTCTCTTTCCTTTTCCTTCTGATTTTCATAAATTTGCTAGTCTTGGTTATTTATACCTTTCTTCTAATGCATCAAAGATTTGTGTATAGATTTTGATTTACAATGATTACAGATTTTTTTTTTAAGAAAATATACTTTAAAGTTTGAATTTATAAGTAGATGGTAAATGGACAAATCTGTAGAGGGAAAAATTTTGATATAGCTTGTTTGAATTATTCCTTCTGTTTTTCAAATGTCATTCAAAGAGTCACAAATTTTAGTATTATAATCAGCGGAGCGAAGCCTTTAAACTCCTGGGCACAGTAACTCTTGAGAGTTACACACACACACACACACACACACGCATCTCCAGAGGGATTTAGCTAGTTGATTTTGAACTTTAATAATATATTAGGATAAAATAGGATTTATAAATTAATTAGATAAGGTTTCTCATAAGATCAGAATAGGATATCATTGCATCCAGCTACCATCCGGGTCCACTGTATTTCCTTATATTAATAGTTAATCCAATATTGTATGACTTAGTTGAAAGAGATGTTTATTTTGATAACCACCCAACATTCTTTACTCCTTCAATGCCATTGAAAAGCGCTCATCTGCAGTATATCCTGGGTGTACTAAGGACAGAAATAATCAAAAATAATGATTAGCGTACCATAGGAAAGGTTAAAGGTCCTTTTTATATCTTTTTAACCTATCAGCAACCTCCTGATAGGTTAAAAAGAACTTTTAACCTTTCCTATGGTACCCTAATCCTTATTTTTGTAACTTTAATTTCTGAATTCTTGCTAGAATTTCTTCATATTATTGAAATGTGATACCTAAAATTTTATATAATATTTTTTTAAATGGCCAATTTTTAGAGTATATTAAAAAGTTGCTTATCTTCTTTGGATTATCATTCCTCATTTAATATTTGTCAAATTTTATAACACACCCATAAGGACATTCTAAATTTGTATCATACTCAGATGTAGTAAATTCCTTTTGCTAAATCATAAAAAAATCATCTCACTGATTTGTCCCTTACTATGTCAGAATTATCTGTCCTTTAAGTTCATTTTTCTGGTTTTCCTGGGTAAATTCTAACACTTAACGTGTTTGTAGACACCTCATCCGAGGTTAAATATTTTTTATTACTTTAAAGAATAGATTTGTTATAGTTTTACCCTTTTAAATGTACATACTATAGTACTATATTCTTACCATTTTATTTAAGAAATTTAGTATAGAAAGATGTTAAACAGAATTAACCATAATTTAATAAACTGATGAAACACAGCAGTGACATTACCACTTTTTAAAATTAAAAATAAGTGTTTACCAACACAGTAAATTTTATTTTTTGATGAATTTTTGAATAACAAGTACAACTTCTGATTTAACACAGCAAGAATGCATTATTACTACAACTTTTAGTTCAGATTTCAGTTTTCCCTGATAATAGAACCTTGTTTCTTTCTATAGACCATTTTGTGTTTGTAGTGTTAAGTCAATGAAACATGGAAATGTAGCATTTTCTAATTTTTTAAAATGTGTATGTGCATGTGTATGTGTATTTGCATTTGTGCATATGTGTTTGTGTTAGGGTGAGGGGAAGATGAGAGAAGAGATATGGAAACTGTAGAAACAGGAACACCACAGAAGTGTTTGAATAACTTACAAGAGAACTGTGGCCTTTAATTATATTTTCTTTCCATGTGGTATTAGGCATGGTGTAAAATGATGTGATTAACATTACCTGTGCCTCAGATGAAAGATGTAACAATTGCAAATAGGTATATCCTCAAAGTGTTTTGGAATAGAACATGATTGATCAGTGAAATATTCTTAGCTTATATAAGAGACATACATTAAAGGTATTTCATTGAAAATGGTTGCTTAGTGGGTTGGGCTATATTCATGATGTATTTCTTATATGAAAATAATTTCTACATTCTAAGTGTCCTAAAAACAACATAGTATTTTGGAAATAATGAAGTAATATGTTATCGATATGTTACATAAAAAGGAAACATCCAAATGTATGTTTGAATATAGAAAAACTTGATTAAATATCCTTAAATGCAATTAAAACTTGTATATTTAAGGTAATAAAGTTTCTGTTTAAATTCAGTTATCTTTATCCTGATGGGAGGAGTTATAATCCTGATTTAACTGGATTATGTGAACCTACACCTCATGACCATATAAAAGTTACACAGGTAAGGATAATTTCTAGAAAAGTATAATTAAATAAGTATCCATAATGCCTTCTAAATAAATAAGACTCTCATACAGTAGTTAAAATCATGCACAAGTATTTAATACAAAATATACCTAAGGAATTATAAGAGTGTTTAAAGAGAAATTATATTACTTTCTTAGATTTTTTGATACAAATTTATGCTGTTAGAATTCTTGCTTTCCATATAGTATTGGCATTTATATGGGGGAAATAAATAAATCCATGAGCAGGTAGGTGGATGTAAGGAGGGAGCTATAGTTTAGAAAGCTCCCAAAAAAAGATTAGAATAATCATATGCCTTAGATTTTAGAGTCAAATAGATAATTGAAGCCTGTTGAAGATAACAGTTATGTTTTTCTAAATCCATTGCTAGCAACCTCATAGATTTTGAATGGGAATGTAAGTTGGTAAAACCTTTCTTGAGAGTGATATTCAGTAATTATAAAAATCTAAGTGAAAATATCTTTTCACTTTAGAATCTATATATGTAATAGATCCCATATATATCACTTACACACACACACACACACAAACCTGTACAACAGATATTTACTGTAATATTTTTTGTAAAAGTAAAAAGTTACAAAATACTAAGAAGTTTAGTAATAGATTAAATAGACTACTATTCTCATACTGTATTGTGTGAAGTCATCAACAGGAGGGAGGTAGCTCTACATACTCATGTGGGAACTTCTGCATCTTGTACTATAAAATAATTCCATTTATGTAAAGTACAAGTAGGTAACATTTCATTTGGTAAAGTTACATTATGTATGTTCAGCTTCTGTAAGGAAATACATAATTAATTGCTGTATGTGAACATGTGAGTATACTTTTTAAAAGATCAAAAAAAACCACCAAACTGGTAAGAAGATTTAACTGAGGAGGTAACAGGGATTGAGCAATCAGGGAGGGGATGAAGGGAGAATTTGAGTATTTTTTTATTTTACATTCAGTCTGGTTTTAAAATATTTTATATTTGAGACATGTTCACGCCTTGTGTAATAAATAATAAAAATCTGAGGGAAAAAACAAGAGAATTACAGCTTTTTTTAAGATAGTAGATAATGATTTACCTTATAATTATCCAAGTTTCAGTTCCTGTGGTCTTTACATTATTATGTGAGACATACACGTTGACATTTATATGTACATATTGTACATATAAATTTAATAAGCGATTGCCTTTTTCTTTTCTTTTTTTTGAGATGGAGTCTTGCTCTGTCGCCCAGGCTGGAGTGCAGTGGCGCCATCTCACCTCACTGAAAGCTCTGCCTCCTGGGTTTGCGCCGTTCTCCTGACTCAGCCTGGGACTACAGGCGCCCGCCACCATGCCTGGCTAATTTTCTGTATTTTTTAGTAGAGACGGAGTTTCACCGTGTTTGCCAGGATGGCCTTGATCTCCCAACCTCGTGATCCGCCTGCCTCAGCCTCCCAAAGTGCTGGGATTACAGGCGTGAGCCATTTTCTTTCATTTTTTTTTCTGAGACAGAGTTTTGCTTTTGTTGCCCAGGCTGGAGTGCAGTGGCGCAATATCGGCTCACCACAACCTCTGCCCTCTGGGTTCAAGCAGTTCTCTTGCCTCAGCCTCCCAAGTAGCTGGCATTACAGGCACCTGCCACCACATCGGCTAATTTTTGAATTTTTAGTAGAGACGGGGTTTCTCCATGTTGGTCAGGCTGGTCTCGAACCCCTGACCTCAGGTGATCCACCTGCCTCACTCTCCCAAAGTGCTGAGATTACAGGCGTGAGCCACCGTGCCCGGTTATGATTGCCATTTTAAATTTAACATGTGATTGCCGTTTTAAAAGTTATGTAGTGATCCCGTATTTTCAAATATGTGTGAAAGGATACGTAGGAAAGACAGTTCCTCTTTATAAAGCCATTAAAAAAATAAACCTTTGGAAGTAATAACATTCCCTTAAATTACTCGTACATATTCTTATTGTTTAGGTTGCACTGTGGTCTGTATCTGTGATTTTAGCCTAATGTAATTTTTTTTATAATTGCATATTTGTCCTTTAGACAGTCATAACCAGTATCAGTACTTACCTATTATTTCAGGGACATCAGCAATTTATAACTTACTTTGAATTACTTTAGTTTTATTTCTTTTCCATTTTTATGCATTCTCTCTTGTCTCTTTCCTTAAGTTCCCCATAAAATTTTTGTATATTCACACATCATAGTAGACACAGTTTATACGTGTGTACCTGCATGTACATGCATATGTATCCACGTGTGTTTATGTGTGTATGTATATTTTTTCTCACCAGGATTATAGTATATTTTAGTAGGCTGTGGACTAAATATTGTTATTTATTTATCCTACTCAGTGCCAGGCACATTGTAGTCACTTACCGAACTAAAAGTTGCTTTATTTACCCAAATATTGGTTTCATAATTCCTTTTCTTTGTATTCCTAACATTTTTTTTGTATTTTTTTCGAATTTACCAATTTATTTGTATCTTTGTCACAAAGATCTTTTCAGTATTTGAATTTTGAAAATTTTACTGTGTCAAATGTTTTGAATTTTGAAAATTTTACTGTGTCAAATGTTTTAAGCTAAAAGCCTAATCAATCAAGAACATGGCAGTTTTAATAAAATGGTTTTTGGTTAGTGATGGGATTTGTTTTCTTGACAGTGTTAGGGAAAGAGTATGCACTTTTTAGTCAGAGACTTCATTTAGAGTTTGAAGCAAACAATTTAAACTTATTAAGCCCCAGGCCTAACTTTTGTTAAGTTCAATATATCTTCTTATGCTTTGGAGATTAAGTGAAATAGTAAGTGTGGACCACAGTGCCTGGCATGCAAGAAATGCTTGGTAAATATTTGTCACTTTTCTCTTCCCTTCTGGGATTTCTAAAGATATTGAAACAAACAAAAAAAAATAATGTTTAGCCAAGTATCCTTTTTTTTTTTTTTTTCAATTTGACAGTTAAATTATATAAGCATGTGGCATTTATAAAAAAGATAAAATCATTTTATATTCCTATTTTAAAACCATAGATTTTGTCTTTTGAGTCACCATGACTATTGAAGCAAGTCCTTTCCTAAAGGAACCTTAAATAATATGAATAATTAAGAAGCATATAAGATAGATGATAAAAGTTCAAACCTTTTTAGAATGGATTTTGTAGACCAAATTGTGATCATCAATTCAAAACATGTCTCAGATGGTAACAAAATTCTGACAAAATCAATTGTGAGATATTTACTGTGTGTCATTTTATTTGGGAAAATTTGATACTAACAATTCATGCTGGAAATACATTAATGTTACTTTCCTTCCCCCTCCCCCAAATTCCAGGAACAATATGAATTATATTGTGAAATGGGCTCCACTTTTCAGCTCTGTAAGATTTGTGCAGAGAATGACAAAGATGTCAAGATTGAGCCTTGTGGGCATTTGATGTGCACCTCTTGCCTTACGGCTTGGCAGGTATAATCATTAACAACATGGATGTCTGTCTTATGTGTCCTACTAGTATTTTTCTTTTTAGTTTTCTTCTTAATGGCTTAGGAGGTAATGCTGATAAGTGCTTTATTTTAAATGATTGTGTAGACGTTTTGTATGTGTGAGTTGCTTTATATAATTTGATTTTAACTATCTTATATTTTGTTTCTTTTAAAAGTGTAACTTAATTTTATTAGTCATCAGTAATTGTACTTCTATAGTACCATGGATTTCAGGATGTTCACTTGTAGATATTACCAACTAAATATATTTATGCCATTTATTCATAGATTCTGTTTGTAGTAGGTCAGTTTCCAAAGGCAAGTAAATCTTAGTAGATAAATCTTATTTTGATATTTTCAACCAAACTTCCTTTTCTCCTGAGGAGTCATGGTTCCTGTCTCACATATGCTCCGTAGTGCTGAAATTGGAGAATCAAGACAGGAAGTATCTCCCAAATACTTACAGTTCCCACAGAAACAGGCATTAAAGTTTCCTATTTACTGAAGCATAATCTCAGGAAAATTGCCTTCCCATTTGTAGCAGGCATTCAATAGATATAAATTGATTTGATGTTTTATAGGATGGTCTGGAGAATAACTGGTTTTCCCAAGGACATTCTTTTATTTCTTCATCTGTAACGAAGATTGGGGATTTTAAAAATGGATCTTTGGACAGATTTCCAGTTTTGAGTATTTGGAGAAGTCATGGAATATTTTGATCAAGCCATTTTGAAACTGCTGTTTGACATAATTACGTTGAAGCTAGAAGCATATTTATAGGGTTTAGAAAGCAAATAATTAAATTTTCTAGCCTTTAAAAAAATTTTCAATGAAGCATGTAGTTGACATTCCTACCCTATTTCTGAGCCCTTTCAGTCCTTGATTTTCTTTGTCCAACCCTGTACCTCTGCATGACTTGAGGAAGGATGGACATTGGGGTTCATGGAAGGGGACTGACGGACTCGCCTCCCAAGCTCCTTACTTAGTAATAAAATATAATGATTTTCCCATTTTCATAGTCATAAAAGGGCCTGCTGCTTCTTTTGTGAAAAACTTTTTTTTAATGGATGAAGAAAAGAGGAAGAATTAGGAAATGAATTACAGTTGATTTATATTTTCGAAGTCCTTTCTGTATGCCCAGAGATCTTTGCTACCTCAGGAAAATTGTTCAGAATCCCTATACTTCTCTCCTTCGACAGGAATTTGGCTTCTATTTTGTTTTAGGTTTTTCTTTATTTCCTCTCCCTTATTTCCTTTTATTCCTTCATGATGTTGGTGAATTTTGCATATTACAGGGAGATGTTGGAGGAGATCATTCTCAACATAGATACACTTGATTTCTATTTAAATTTTGTTAACAGTAATAATTCTGCAAACTTAGCAGTGCCTTTTAAAAACTACATTCAATAAATTTAGATATGTTGGTAGAAGACAAAATTGCAAGTTTATTTCAAATGTGTCAGTAGGAGGTATTATAGAGATAGTGACTTAGTGATAGATTGTCTGTAATTGGACTAGTTAGGACTGGTGTACCTGATAATGATTCAGTGTTTCAGGATACATATTAAACTAACAACGAAAACAAATGGTATTTGTCACCGTTCTTTGCCTTCAGTATGGTAGTGTGGTTTTTACAGGTACATAGAAACTAAAAAAAGCCTTGCATTTCTCCCTGAAGAAAATCAGAATAATAGCCTGATACAAATTCCTAACACTGCCTCCATGCAAGGCTTCTGTATGTCACCTATTTTTCTCCAGAACATACACATGCATACATGTTGCAAGACTTCCCATCTGTAACTCAATACTGTGCTTAGTATTTGGGGATTAAGTTGGTTAAAAGTCAGAAGCTAGGGCTGGCACGGTGGCTCGCGCCTGTAATCCCAGCACTTTGGGAGGCTGAGGCGGGCGGATCACAAGATCAGGAGATCGAGACCATCCTGGCTAACATGGTGAAAGCCCGCGCTACCGAAAATACAAAAAAATTAGTCGGGCGCGGTGGCGGGCGCCTGTAGTCCCAGCTACTTGGGAGGCGGAGGCAGGAGAATGGCGGGAACCCGGGAGGCGGAGCTTGCAGTGAGCCGAGATCGCGCCACTGCATTCCAGCCTGGGCGACAGAGCGAGACTCCGCCTCAAAAAAAAAAGTCAGAAGCTGCTATTAGTTTGACAGAAACATTTGTTTAGTAAAATGTTTTGTTTAAAGCATCATACAAAATAGTTGTTTACTGGCGCGGCATGGCAGCTCACACCTTTAAATCCCAGGACTTTGGGAGGCCAAGGCAGGAAGATCCCTTGAGCCCAGGAGTTCAAGAACAGCCTGGACAACATAGGGAGACCCCATTTCTATAAAAAAATAAAAATTAAAAACAACAACAACAACAAAAAAAAACAGTTGTTTATCTTGCAGCCCAGGGTGAGTAGAAAAGTATGGCTGAATATAAAGCAACAAATATTTTATTTATTTTACTTTCTATATACTTCTTAAAAGAAAGTTTATTTATTCTTAGTAAATAAATACTGCCATCAGTAAGTCCTATCTTAAATTGTCAGTAGATTCTTGGAAACTGCAACTTTGAGCAAAGTGACATACTGTAAGCTGTAGGAACCTTAACTCTTGATTCTATCAATTAGCCTATGGTAAAATGGATTTCATCATACAATAAGTTGTTTCACTTAAAGTCTCAATTTCCAGTAACTGATTAACAATATTAATTGAGGACTTAACTGTATTTATTTGTTAGGTGTGTGAACTATTTGCAATAGGTCCATTATGTACAAAAGGGATAGGAATATTTCCCAGTTATCATTCTGTATTATTAATGCTGTGTCCTTTACATTGCCACAACATTTCTGTGTGTTACTGTGCATTCTCCAGATTGGTTTAGTTCCTCTTGCTTGTTGCTTATCAATTCCTTGCATTATTTCATGACTTTTTATATTGACCTAATGACCTTATATGAAGATATATTCAGTAATGTTGGTAAGTTGTTAACATTTACTATTTCTATTTTTCACTCTGAGCTGCTTCTCAGTTTTGCTTTTAGAAATTGAGGAAGTACATAAATGTCAAGCTCTGAAAATTGTGTTTAGCTAAAATGTTTAAAGTTATGTGAGACAGTAATAACAAAGTAGTTTACTAAGTAAAGTAGTAACAAAAATGACAAATTCAAAACTATTCAGAAGGCTGAAATAATAACATTTATGTTACTAGACACTAATGTTATTATCTTAATCTGATCATTGAATTTTGCACCTAAATTAATGAAAAATACACAAACCTTTATTTTCAGTACTATTTTTGAATTCTCCTCACACAAAGCAGCTCATCATTAATAAGCATCCTCCTGTTACATTTTGTATATGTCTCTGTAAGCTCTTACCTCGTTATGTTCATGTTGTAAATATTTCCATATTTATGTATTTCCTTTCTAGAATGTAGATTACTTTGCCTACTTTAGAATCTCTCTCTGCTAGCATGTTATCTGCACATTGGTCATTACTCAGTAAATACTTATAGATTGCATGCTAGGTAATGTAAAAGAAAAGGAAATCTAAAAGTACATTAAATAAAAAGACAGTATTGTAGATTGATTGTGACAAGCTCTTACAATACTTTTCTGAGAAGTATTTATGATCTTTTCAAAGACCTTTTATCATATTCAGTAACTGAGAGCGAATCCTAGAAATTCTAAAGCTTAGTTCCCTTTGTTCCATTCACTAGCTATTGTGTGATTTCCTTAACTTTTTACTTTGTGATTTTTTCCAACCATTTTTGAACCATGTTATTTTACTTTTATTGTTTGCAGTACTACCAGCACTAACACAGAAGCAATAAGACTGCATTTTTATTGCTTTTTTGCACCAAAAAAAAATATATGTGCACAGTAATCCCCGGTTCATGTTTTCTCTACCCCTAAAGGAAATTGTTCTTAAGTCAATAATTCTAAGTTGATATTTCACAGTCTCTGTATCTCAGTGGGATCTTACTGGTCAAAGGAAGTTTCAACTTTTGAACATTTCTACTTTTGGATAATCTAAATATTTTTACATTTAGATATAGGCTTCACATAGTAGTACTTCCTGCCAACTGGCATATCTGTTTTGGCAGCTTTTGTATTATTGCATGAACAGCAACGTTTGTTGATCATTTAAACGTGTTATTGCAAAATGCCTCTGGTATTTAATAAAAATAAAAGTCTTATAAAATTAATCTAGTGAAAGCACAGTTGTAAAACAGATATGCTGAAGGTCTCGTATCTGTAATCTCACCTAGCTGCTCCCTTGACTTAACCTAATTGATAGTAAATGTATCAGTAAGAAGAACAAAATTATAACACACTTCATAGTTGCGCAAAATATTGCCAAAAGTGGTATCTAAGCTTGTAGATACATAGAGAAATGTTCTCAAGGTATGAGGTCTCTGGACTTAAGAGTAAAATAACTTATGTCTCTCTTTTTCTATTTTTTCCTCATTCAAAAATGGTACTTTAAAGACACTGTTTTTGTTTTATATGATTAAATTTGCAAGCTTAACTGTGCACAGGAAGAATTTGTTATTTTGCTTCTTCCTCTTACTGGTTTGGTAGAAGCAAACCAAGATTGTTTCAACTATCATTTTCCATTTATTTATTTATTTAGGAAACATTCTTTGAGCAGCTGCAACATCCCATGTTCTGTCCTATGCCCTGAACTAAGAAGAACTCTGAGACACAATCCTTAGCCTCAAGAAGTTGAAGTTAAAATTAAACCTGAAATTTCTATTGAGGGGCATGATATTAATAATTACTTGAAATGAGTATCCTGTTGTCGTTCAAATTTAATTATGGCTGCTAGACATTTTTTGTTGCTTTCTACTACGTTGGTTGGGCATGCTGATATGAAAATGATTTTAAAGGCTGCATATCTGCCAGGAAGCTATGATAAATCAGTTAGAATCCAATAGGAAATATTAAACCCTGACCTTTAATCATACTATGCTCAGCA